TATTGCCTCAAACTCAGATTCATTCGAATGCGATCAAAGCTAATGAAAAAACGATGATGATGATCACCATTTGGGGGTGCCATACACAATAGGGTCTTATCGGTGTTCACAAAATTACGGCGCATTACGGCTCCCGTATCTTCGGCATACGAAGTGTATCTTTCCCACCTCACGGATGCACAGATCTACCACCATAAATCTTTGTTGGCTCCGATCCGTTTTTTTTTTTTTTTTCTTCTATAATTTAAGAGCAATTTATTAAATGCCGCAACGCTTTAATCTGCACTGAAAAATCTTTGCCCCCAAACTGCATAAATTAATTTCAGACAGAGAGAAAAAAGAGCGCGAGCGCGCGATGCGGAATGCGTGACATATTTTTTTTTTCTGATACATATACAGAATCGCCATGTGCATCCCAAAAAAAAGTTGCAGAAGTATCTCCCGACTGTATCTTTTCAGTGTGTATCTCAGCGGCTGACAGCGCTGATTAGCATGGAGCACAAAAAAAAAAAATAGAGACTGGAAAAGGGACAGGGAGATGGAAAAATATTTGTGGCAGCTGGGTTAAACGATCTCTGACGCCAGAGTTTTTCCCAGGGAAATCTTCTGGGTTGTGTCGACTATTCCCTCAATTGCATATTAAACGTTTTCCGTGTACAGTACAGACCCACAAAATAACGAAAAAAAACCCCCCAATTATATAATCAAATGTTGTGCGCTGCGACAAGTTGTTGCATGTTGGCATTCGTAAGTGCAGAAGTTCTTGAATCGACCACAAAAGCAAGAGAGATACTTTTGTGTCATGTTTGTGTGTTATTTTTCGGTTGTATCTTGAAGATATTTCAGCTGCCGTCACGTGACATGAAAATTTGTTTAGCCAGCCGAATGGATGAGAGGAAGAAAAGCCGCCAGGTAAATAATTCTTCTCTTCACTATGCCCTGTCTGTCTGTCTGTCTCTGTACAAATTAAGGAATTTCCAACACGTACACATAAATTCTTCACTTTTCCCCCACTATGGCTTTGCCTCTGTCTCTCTGTGTCTCTCTGTTTTCCCGGCTTTCCACTTTCTTTCTTAGTTTGTATACCCTTAAAGAGGATGCTATGACTTTGATGGGAAATACAACGCAGAGGAGCGCTGCTGCATAGGGGAAAAGTCCTCAGTGTGAAATACTCTTATGTACCAACAATCTGCAGTGTAATTCTCAACTTCATAGCTAAACCAAATTCAATCCATACCTAATCGCTGTGATCGCTCTTTAAGGGTATCCAAAGCTTCGACTGCATTTTCTACTTCATTATGGGGCATTCTCTGGTTGGTTTTTTTTTTTTGGTTTGCTTTTTAACTGCTTGCCACGATTTATGCATAATTTCCATAGCCAATGTCAGAGCCAAAGCCAGAGCTCATAATTTGAATGCGACAGCAAAATATGTTGGCGCCAGAGAGCCACCGGCCAGCCACCGGCCAGCCACCGCCAGCACCACACAGAGACGGAGTGCGACGCTTCCATTAACTGTGAAACTACTACTGCAAACTGCCAACTGTTTTGTGGACACATGGCTGGGCTACCCATTCGCACTGCACGCTGAAAATCTGCTTACAGTCTCAAGTCTGAAGACTGAAGTGGTCTCTGCAGCTCAATGACCGACAGCTAAAAGCATTTTTTGGCTTTGCCTCCGTTATGCCATTGAATAAATTCATAAATCAAACAGAAAATCCAATCCACAAAAAATAGATGTAACAATAAAATGTACAAACAACAGAAATGGGAATTGTACGACACAAAATAGATGGAAATAGCTGGGGGAATAGCCAGCAACACATGGAATAAGAGGTACATTAGAGATGGCAAGATACATGGCTAGTGCATAGATGTTTATCTTGAAAGGTAGCCAAAGAAGGGTTCCTTTCAGTTCATCTTACAGAATACCCATATCACACATCATCGTTGCCTGCTTTACAACGAAATTGACTTCCTTGAAGTCCAAACTTTTCCGCATAGTTACGGTCAAGTTCTTTGGCTAAAAGTTTATCCCATAAATCCTCCCACAATACACAAAGTGTACCTCCGGAGCGCAGAGCAGAGGACACACACACAGACACAAAGTTTGGATCATAAATATAGTCGTTCATCCTTTTGTTCCTTGGGACGACAACAAACTTAAATTGCGCACATCTTTTATGGCTCTTACAGCCCGTGAAGAACGGGTGGAAAGGTTGATTAACCCCTCGAGATGATGTTGCAGAGCAAAACAAACAGCAGAGATGAAAGACCACCCCTCCCCGCCCAGAAAACACTCCAAGAGAGAGTGCTCTCCGTAGCTCTCTCAGATAAATTCAGCAAGAGTGCTGACAAACAACCGCCAACTTTGAGGTGGCATAAGCTTTGCTCTCTTTGGGACTGTGTACCCTCGTATGGGAGGGGGGAACGCCGGAACAACCCCAAGTGAGGTTCAATTGCGGGCAAGTGCAAGGCTGTAGCTGTAGCTGTAGCTGGGACTGTAACTGTGACTGTGGCAAAAGAGAAGAGTTCACATTGGCATTGAAAAATCGAATGGAATCGGGGGATAAAAAATAAAAATCGAAAGCAAACATAAACATAAACAGAGGGGCAGAGGAAGCCACCCTCATCTAAAAAGATGCTGCCAGCCGAGGGTTGTGGAATATATCTAAGGAATACATCAGAAGAGCAAAGGAAGGAAATCTCGACGGCAAAAAGTCAAATGGAAAGTTTCTTTGAAGCACTCGATGGGGCCAATAATGTATACAGTCTCAAGTCTGAAGTGCGGCAGCCACTTCATCAACTTCAGATGGATAGTTGGCTCCACATCTCTCTGGCCACTGCAGCAGCATCCTTCAGTGTCTGTTCTGCAGAAGGAGCCATGGTAATGGTTTCCGTTTCCATATCTCCTCTCTCCCCCCATAATGCAAATTTGTTTCACATCACGGAGCATCTGATGTATGACGTGACTGCGAACAGAAGCCACTGCCACGCAGCCACGCAGCCACACATCGACACAGCCACCACCAAACGGGACTCCCTTTCGTTCTCCATAGTCATCAGGCAGTCAGCAGCCGTAGCCAGCAGTCAGATCTACTCTGACTTTTGTTTCGTCACGACCATGTCGTGTCCACGTATCCCACCCAATCCTCTCCAGCTCCCACTCCCACTCGCCACTCGACTCGCGAGGTGTTTACATAACATGGCATTCTCTCTCTCTCTCTCTCACTCGCTCGTTCTCTCTGCACGCATGCGGCCCTCTGTCCAGCATCCAGCCATTGAGCTTCAGCTTCCGTCCACCTGGACAGACACTTGAGGGGGTGGGGGGTGGTCTGACTTTTGCTTTGGACTCTGCTTCGTTGGTTAGCCGGTAAAAACAGTTTACAATTTTACGTTACGCACCACCCTGCGTATCCCATAATCGGTATGTATCTGTATCTATATCTGTATCTGTATCTATAGCATTGTTACTGTATTCGATTGTGTCCGCATTCGCATGGCTAGAGGGTTGCCTCATGACTTTCGCTTTAGATGATACAAAAGATTAGCAAAAGGGATTACGAATGATGAAGGGATCAGATCAGATGATATGGGGCAAAGGCAAAGGATAATGTCCGAAGGACTTACAGAGAGCGTGACTTTCTTTCGTCCTTCGAGAAATATAAAAGGTGATTTACAAGGCATTTATGGAATATAGTGACAAAGATATATAAATATAAAATAACTAGAGCGAATGTATCTTCATTTCTTCCCTGAAACTTTCCCTGAAAGCATTACCAAAAAGGAATCCCAATTTCTTTATTATTCCCACAATTTACAGAGACATGTTCTGTCTGCTGCATATCTTTGTAACCTATCTCGTATCCCTTAACCACACACACACATCTCTGTGCATATCCATTCCTGTTGGCTTGGGTTAACCTTCCAATTAACGTCACGTTCACTCCACTTCACTTTACTGTACCCTGCTCCACTGTACACCACCTCCACGGCTCCTTCTGCTACCTTTGCAACGTACCTGCGCACTTTTCACCCGGTGTAGCGTGCCGCCAGTGATGACGCCCGCAGTGGTCGCCTTGGCGTGCATTGCAACTGAATTTATGACGTACTGCGTCTGCTGTTGCTGCTGCTGTTGGAGTTTCTGCTGCTGTTGCTGCTGTTTGGCCAAGACTGAAGGCGTTTGCGGTTTGGGCAGTGCCTCGCTTGTGGCCGTTGTTGCCACTGCCATTGCTGTTGTCAGTGTCTGGGCTTTTGCAACATTCCTAATTGAGTTTTCTGGTACTCGGTTTTCACTTTGGCACTCCATTGCCTCCATTGATGGAACCTCTACGAGTAGTGGAGGCTGTTGCTGCTGTTGCTGCTGCTGCTGCTGCTGCTGCTGCTGTTGGTGTTGTGTGGTGGACATAATTAGGATTTTATTTGCTCTCTGTTGCACTCTCTGTTGCAATTTATATCATGTCTGGCAGCCAGATGGAAATCAATTAGTCGCACTACACGTATCTTAACTATCAAACATCAAACACACACCACACACAGACGACACAGCACTCAGGGAAAACGAAAGGAAAAACCAAACGAATCCACGCATACGGATACGGATACGTACACGGACGCCGACACGAAGGAGAAGGTGTGCACGGAACGCGGGTTCAACTGTTACTGGGATTCGCACTTGCAACCTTCACATGCCCAGGGAGTCAGTCAGCCCCGGCGTCCTTCGCTTTTTGGGGGGTGGTGCTAGTGGTTAGGTGGGTGGCGGGTGGTGGCTTTAAGTGTTAACTTTATCTCACTTTTATCTAACGAGCAAGCGCAGGGGAAGTCCCAGAGAGACAGAAAGAGAGAGTTAGAGAGAGAGAGAGAGCCCGTGGCACGTGCGGCTCCTGAATAGCGGAAAAAGCGAAACAGATTTAATTAAGAATTATGAGAATATTTCTCATTAGCTTGGCAGATTGATACGAATGTTATCCCATGAAAAGTAGGCGGCATTCTCCCCTAAACATTCAGCTCACAAAACTTCCCCGCCCAGAACCCATTTTCCAATTTAGAATTATTGTTTATATCTTGTACCTCAATAAAGCTGTGAAAAAAACGAAAACGTATCCAACACAATGAGCCTCTATTCAGATCGTAGCACCATTGCGTCTATGGCCGTGAGTTCTACACGTGAAACCGAAACAAAAACTACGGTAAGTGGGTTCTTCTCTTAAGCCTCGAACCCTTTTGGAGCCATGTCTAAATAGGGTATATCCACAGGGGTCAGGAATAGTCGATCCCAAGGCTAAAAAGTCCGTTCAGGTGGCCCATTCCGAGTCTGAGGCAAATCTCAAGCCGACAAAAAAGAAGAAATCGGAGTCTCAGCATTACTACAATCAAGAAATAGCAACCGATCTTCAGTATCGATCACAAATCAAGGTGGGTTAAGACTTGTTTATATTGTGTGTGGATTGGCAAAGATCTGGAACCGTTTTTAGGTGGTGGAGGAAGTCGATGGCGAGGAGGTGGACATGACACCAAAGCACATACAACCCCACACATATGCCGATCAATTTATGCGTTTCAACCTGACGTTTCTCCATCAAATGGCCAATCTGGTGACAATGCACTCCAGGGGCGCCTCACGTTCGCGGACACGCTCCAGCATGCGGACAGGACTGGGCGGCAACAAGCAGTCCATCGATGAGCTAATGAATGGGGTTTGTAGTTGGCACAGTTGGGCACAGATCTGCCAGAGAGTCAGCTTTATCGTCTTGTTCCTAATCCAATAGATCACCTACGAGACCATCACCTTTGACTTGTTGAACGTCCGTGACAGAGGCGACGAGGAGTATGTGCCACAGCCCTTCAACAAATCCTTCGTGAAGGTAACGCTCCGCAAATCGGACTTCTTTGAGCTGCACTCGCAGTGCAGCATCACTGCTGCCAAGGGCACAGCCGATGGCGATGAGGCGGAGAAGGACAATCGCGTCTACGAATATTTGACAGCGGGCAAGGGCAAGGTACGTCGCCGATCCGAGAACCAGGCCCAGACGGACATTTTGCTGACCACCACGCGGGCGGTGAACACCATTCTGGTGACCCAGGCAACGGTCAGCTCCTACGTCTCCAACTATGAGATGTACGACACGGTGCACAATCTGAATCGCAAGTACTCCACGATGCGGAGTCTGCCGGGCGAGGGAAAGGACCAAGAAGCGCAAACCACAGAGTTCTTCGACGAGGAGGAGGACACGGCAGAGCGCGGCAAGGTGATGTCCGAAATGGAGAAGCTGCTGAGCAGCACAGAGTTCAGGAATGCCGTCATGTACGTGGGCCGCACGCTCTCCAGCAACACGAACGAGGGGGGCCAGAAGCGCTTTCGCAACTTCAAGAAGATCGATCGCTCCGCCACGGATGCCAAATACGTGTACTCGATGAAGCTGCTGTTCCGCCTGATGCCCGTGCCCAGTCGGGACGAGCGGAAGGCCGTCAGCGACATTTGCTTCTGCCGCAGCAACGGTGACATTGTGGCCGTGGCCTACGGCCTCTATTCGTTCTCCTCGCAGCAGGTGCCCGAGTCTGGGAGTGTCTTCGTCTGGAGCATCAAGAATCCGGGGGAGCCAGAGCGAGCGTATTACTACCAGATACCCGTGACGGCCATTTGCTTCTCTCCGTTTCTGCCCTCGCTGATCGCCATCGGCCTCTATGATGGCTCTGTGGAGGTGCGGGACGTGAGCAGCCAGGCGCTGACACCCATTGCCATATCGCAGCGCAGCACATCGCCGGGCTGTGCGCCCGTGGTGGCCATACGCTGGATCAAGCAGGTGGAGGAGGGCGAGAGTACGGACTTTGACATCGATCCATTTCTGAGTCTGTCGCAGGACGGGTCCGTCACTCGTTTCCGCATCATCAAGAGCCCCTTTCTGCTGGGCTTCAATCAGATGACACTCGAACGCGTGGAGGGCCATCCCGAGGGCATCATGGTGCCCATACCCCCCCAGTTGACCTGCGAATCGAACCGTCATCCGCAGGGACTCAGCCTCACTACCCATCCGGTGCACAAGGACATCTACTACGTGCTCACCGACGAGGGGTGCATCCACAAGTGCTCCATCAACTATCAGCATCAGTATCTGGAGGTCCTCAAGTGCCACGATGGCGGCGTGAATGTCATGGAGTTCTGCCCCTGGTCGCCCAAGCTCTTCCTCACCTGTGGCAATGATTGGTTGGCATTTGTGTTCTCTCTTTAATATTTCTATTCTCAGTACAGATATGGTGATCCTTTCCACAGGTACGTTCGCGTGTGGATTGATGGCATCACGCGTCCCCTGATGGAGCTGATGGACGAGATGACGCCCGTGCACTGGGCCAACTGGAGTCCCACACACTCCACGATCATTGTGTCGGTAAACCGCGAGACAGCGAATGTCTGGGACATTAGACGCAACATTCTGAAGCCCATGGCCAGACATGAGATGGATTCATCCTTCAACACAGTGGCACAGTGGGTAGACCATTGAATTACTCCTCTGAATCGCTCTTCCTCCTCCCTTTCTTTTAGATTCTCCAACTGTGGACGTAGCCTCGTAGTGGGCAACGAGCGTGGCAACACTCTCTTCCAGGCACTAAACGATATGCCCTTTGAGCCACACTTTCAGTACGATGAGCTCGAGAAATCCATTTTCAAGGCCGTTGGCAACGATTACGAGCTGCTGATGGAACTCAAGAGCATGGGCTTCTTTGGCTATCCCAACAAGACCTTCGTCAGGTAGATCCTCAATGTAAAATATCCCCAGTTGAATAAAGAAAACATTGTTGAAGCTTCACAATTGAACAACGGCTATCAGTTTCCGCATCATCCGTTTTGCAATGTGAACTCCAAATGGGGTTCAACGACACGGACATGGACACAGAACCCCACAAAAAAAAAAACAGATTTCGCCAAGCTTTAGAGATAGGTATAACGGATTGAGTTTTGTTGGCTCATCAGTTCCGCAGCGAGCGATCAAATAACAGAAGAGAAGAGCAGAGCAAACCGGGAGACGACAATCCCCTCGAGATGATAAGGTAACCCAATACCGAACCTTACCTGTAGAATGCAACAAGCAGTTCAAATAGGTTGGAATACATACTCCTCTTTCTCTTCTCTCTCTCTCTCTCTCTCTCTCTCTCTCTCTCTCTCTGTCTCTCAAGTGTCAACCCTGGTGGTCACCTTGGATGAGGGCTTCTTTCTTCGTTCTTTGGTCATCGGTCAGCGGGTGTTAAATAACAAATAAACACTTGTGCACACATTAGCATATAGCAAATGGTAGCCGTAGCCGTAGCCGTAGCCACAGCCACAGAGAAAGGGGGAAGAATTTATTAAACAACCATTAGGGAAAAATGAGACAGAACCAGACACCAGACGATGCGCCACACAAAAGACGCAGGCAGAGAGGCCGGAGATCAAACGGCGGGCCAACACACACACACAAGCTCAAGAGGTGGGCCCATAAATGGTCCAAGATCTACGGCGTGTTACAGTTTTAGCCAGAAGAGCCAGAGAAGAAGTAGGAATAACAAAAAGCATAGAAATAAATGTCAAAATTTCGAGGATCGTAAATAAACAGAGAGAGAGAGAGCGCGGGGACCACCGCAAACGATGGCCGTAAATTACACAGCACATTCTCTCTGTCCGTACCGGAGAATGAATGCAGCAGCATGCATGCTGGAACGAATCAAAAGCAAAGCAAAGCAAAACAACAGCAAAGAGCGGCAGTTAAAACACCGCTGGATGTCATCATCAGTGTGGCGCGATTCGATCCTTGTCCCGACCGCATTAATTGTTGAGAAACAATCTCTGGCCCGTCGTTGTTGTCGGATTTAATGAACATTTAATTGCAGCCCACATGTGCGCCAAGCAATGCTGCCCCCAAACAGAGCTGCTGAGCTGTTGCCGGGACAGGGACATGGACATGGACACATGGCGGTGGCGGTGGCGGTGGCGGTTTCGAGTACGGGTTGCACGGGCTGTTGCTGTGTCAAGAGGGAGGTCGGTTGGTGGGTTGCCGTCCGGTTGCACAAATTGAAAACAAAGTGTTATTGTCCAACGGACAGCGGTGACAAGGAGACAAACGAGCTTACAGTAGCTGCCAGAACACTCTGTTATGGCCATGACAAAGCCAACCCGAACGAGCTGCCAGGCACATCTAGCCAAACACAACAGAACACAACACAACGATGATGACAATCACGACAATGACGATCGACGATGATGTGGCTGTTGTCTGCGATGCCATTTTGCCAATATAAAGTTGCGATTCATCAGAATATTTGAGATTCACATGCCCAAGTAGAGAGCAGAGAGCAGAGCCAACAGATCGCGCCAAATGAGGGTTCCCGCTGCCGCCCCGCAGCCCATAGGGAGAAAGGTGCCGCAGCAGCGTCGCAATAAAATGGGAACAACCAGCAGCAGAGTGTAAATGGCGGTCAGTGAATGCCTTTATGTGCAATACATAATAAATATCGTTAATAGTAGCTCCACTCACCCTTTATGCAATTAATTGCACTTAGAAAACACCACAATTAAAATATAAATTACACCCACGCGCTGCTGTTTATCGAAATGGGATTATCGAGGCTGGAAACAGGGTTGCATTGCATCGAAACCAGCTGATTGGGCTGTTTTTATTATGAAAATCATCAAAAAAATACATTCTATGGTGGCTTTTCTCTTCTTTGCTTGCGGTATCCATCGCTGTATAATCTAGCTTGCTGCTGCGTGAAAGAGTCTGCCTCGGGGTCATCCGAAGAGTCCCTGCAGGGCCAATAATGTGGATTACCAATGACAATTGCAGCCAAAAATCTACTCACTGCACTTCAGAGAAATCACTTAAGTCGCCATAATCTATGGGTCGATGGCACAGGCAGCATTTGTTGTTGGACTCGCTGAAACACATCGGGCAGTAGACACCTTTGCAGCCTAGGGTGTCGCAGTTAATGCGGGTGGAGCTGGAGAACACAAAAGGAAAGTGTGAAACAAAAGCGGGACAAATGTTGAACAAACTACTAACGAGCTCAAGGACTTGGCGCAAATGATGCAGACATCAGCAGTCATGGCACCCAGCAGGCAGGCACAACAGCAGCACCTGCACCGGCGAGAGAGTTCAATTAGATGGGGAAATGGCTACTCATCGAATCGAATCGAATCAAATCGAATCTCTCACCGATTCAGCTTGCCCCTCAGCCAGTTGAGGCAACTGATGTGCCCTTCGTGATCCTGGTACATGAAGGCAGCTCGGATCCGGCGACGGGCGAACTTAAATACGCTTATGCGCTCGGTTAAGATCTTATTGTGCAGGTACAGGGCCCTCTCATGGTCCCTCTCCGGGTAGAAGCAGCGCATAATGGCATGACGAAGGCGCAGCAAATACGGCTCCGTCAGCAGGATCAGCCAGGCAAACAGGCAGATTCCCAATATCTCAGCATATCTCCAATAGTTCGGCTCCACAGGCAGAGGCAAACAATGACTAGTGTCCAAGACGGTTTTTTGGGTGAGTGGTCGAAAGCCATTCGAAATGCCTCGCATTATATCAGCCACAAAGCCTCCTCCTTTGATCTGCAGATCTATATAGCCGGGCACCTCCAGTCCGGACTCCTGATGGCCGTAGTACGACATGGTGGCCAGCATCCAGAACAGGCTGTAGTCCAGAAAGCAAATGGAAAACAATTGCAGGGAAGTAAAAATCATGAAAAATGTGCTCCCCACAATATCCCGGCACTCGGAGGAGGTGAGACGCGGACTGGTGAGCTGTAATCAGAGAATAACTATTCATATTTCCTTAATAGAGGATCGATATGGACCAACCGCTATGTACTTTCTCCTTTCGAGTCGTTTCAGGGGCAGCAGCAGCTCGTCTCCATGCGTTTGTCTCTGCATGTCGATGGCATAAATAGATTTGGTTAAATAAACATTCCTATACTCCAGACTGTGCATGTAGCGGACATAGAAGTAGATGGCCCTGGAGGGGAAGTACCAGTAGCCGCTTAACGGATGGATCTTAGACATTTAAGAGTTTGAGTTCTTGCCTACTTAATAAACACTGCCACAATCAAGATGTAACAGAGAATGTCCAGCCAGCCGAACATGAGCATCAATGGGCTCAATCGCTTGTTGATATCCTGGACAATCTCTTCACCCACCTCCGAGAGATCCCGCGAGGAGTTTGTATTGAAATAGAAGTCGTGTTCAAAGGTGATTTTCGCATCGAACATTTTCCTGATATGGCCCACAAACACATGGTACTCTGATGGCGGAAACAACAAAATATTTAGATTCAAATGTCGATTCATGTAGATTCTACATACGCTCCATAACATTGTCAAGCAACTCCCAATGCACATCCCAGAAGCCGCTGCAAAAGACATCTATGATCTTTGCGGGATAGCACAGGGCGAGAAACACTTTGGCCGCATGACAGAGTGGCTTGAAGATGCCCAGATTTTCCTGACACTTGGTCATGGCGCGAAGGGCAGCCTGTTTGCAGCGTGCCCACGGTGTGTCCATCTCTTCGTTGCACATATCCACAATGGATTGCAGCCAGGCCAAACAGTTCTTGAGGGTTCCAACTGAAAGGGAGAGTACAGATGTGGCAAACGAACTGTCTGGGAGGCCAGACTCCACTCGCACTCACTGATGATGATCAGGTACTCTTGGATGCGCAGTAGGGTATCCATTACTTGCCTGAGCACACGACGCACCTCGTCCAACATCAGGTCTATGGCCATTTTAATGGATTTCGCTGGTTCTAACAATACATCCATCATTTGGCCCAGTGCCTGTCGCAGCAGCTCTTGGCCGCAGGCCAAGCTGCGCAGCATCACCTTCAGATTGGCGAGGATATTGGCAGTCGGCCCAATGGCCGCCAGAAAGAACGCCAGGGCTATCAGAAAAGCGCGACCGCGTGAGCTGCACAACGAAGGAATGGCCAGAGTCAGTATGCACCTGTCGAGAGGAAGAATCAGCGATTAGAAATGGTTATGAGCATGCTCCCCCACTCACCTGACGGGACGGCCATAGAAGAGAACAATGAAGAGCAACGCCAGGCCCACAATTGTCAGCCATCGCGGTTTGAGGTCTTGCCTGCGCAGCGAGGGATGCCATTCATACCATACGAGAGTTAAAACAATGCCACAGATATAGCCGCATAGAACGACAGGCACAACAGCCTTAAATGTCCACACGGCGTGCCTTATTTCCATTTTGAAACATGCCAAATGCCTTGATGCCAGACTGACAGAATTTATAAGTTTTTGAAATCAATTTGCGATTCCCCCCGCAAGGAACACAATTATCCAAAATGTGGTTGGCTATTCTGCGGCTAATGTAACGTATTTCTTTTCTACTTCGGTATTTGGCCATCTGGAGTGGGCAAACAAGGTGCACGTTGCCCAACTCTAGAATCTTGTCATTGGCAAATTACCCAACACTAAAAGCATCAAGAAAATATTTGACTGCTATGGCACCGACCTCAACACATATGTCATATAGTTGTCCCGCTCTAACATGCGCTGTGGCCGACACAAAGCTAACTGCTGGTTGACTCGGTTGCCCGCCCAATTTGAAATTCAAATGACAGTCACTTCTCGTTTCTCTTTCTTTCGCTTTTTCGCTTCACTTTTTATTTCAATCAACACTCTCTCACTCGTTCCACTTGCCTCAGTTCCTTTACAAATGTCTCATACCTTAATTTTTGAATTAACAAACGTGTGCCATGTTTACTTTTTGGGGAATTCTTTGATATTTGAGGGGGATTTTTCAAACAGCGCGAATGCGTCTTTTAGTGTAACGAACTTTAGTTTTGTCATTTAGTTTAGTTTCTCCCGGCTATTCTCTGAGTTCTCTTGTCATTTCCCTTTCCTCATTTCTTGTGCAGCAAAAATACAACGTTGCAGTTCCGGAATTCATTTCTCGATTTTGTTACGGGCCATCTCCGCTCTTCTTAACAATACGGGGGGATTGGTACTAATCCAACCAAAGGGGATCCCTTGGTTAGAGTACCATTTAGGCGATAATTTCATATGGGGGATGTTTTTTTTGTTTTTTGTTTTTACTTAGATGGGGGAGGGGTGTATATGTATGCATAATACTTCTCCTCGCTTACAATCTATATAAATATAAATATATATGTATGTATATATATATCGAGTATTCAATCGAGTATCAACGGGTCGGGTCGGATCGGGTCGTGGTATGGCAAGTACTGGATATACAATATAGAGTTAATATAGGTAACCTATTACCCATATTAGTTAGTGTATTTGATACTTTGCAAGGTAATTGAATTACGTTTACGTTTGTTTACGTTTAAGAATTCTCGATTAGGCTTCATTTCTTACAATACAATACAATACAATACAATATATGTATAACTCAGTCTAGCACCCCTAGAGATTGAACTTGGATAAAAGGATCGATCGACTCTCGGCTCTCGACTTTATCAATATACAATTGGAGTTAATTTAATGTATAATTATTAACTATACACATACATATATGTACGCATGTATGTATGTATGTATGTATGTATATATATCTGTAGGTAATTGTATACTGTATAATAATTAGATTTATGTGGGCCGTAATCGACCTAATGTTTGGACTAAAAAATTTCCCATAACTAAAAGGATTGATTTAAACACAAATTGAACACGAAACAATTTTTCCTTGGAATCTAAAGTGCACTTAAACGCAATTAACATCCATTCGATCATTGTTAAACACAATCTATATATGAAATAAATCGTATACACTTGGCCCTGGCGTTTTGATCCATAACGATGACAGATAAATGATCAAATATACCACATGGATGTTTTTGTTTTCGTTTTTTGTTGTTTTTTTTTTTATATTCATCTAAACTTCTACTGGTTCTCTAGGCACTTTTTCTATCTGATAGATCTTCGGTTTTTTATCGTTTTTCATTCATTTTTCATTTAGTTTTCTGGTTGCATTACAAAAATTACCAAAATATAAACGATCTACAAATGATGTACACAGTGCGTTTCGAGACTATAATTGCGTAAGCGCTACCATTGAATAAGGACACCAATTGAATGCCAGATATCAAAGTCAAGTCAGTTATCATCTCCTCTCCCATTGACTCGCATCTAATCATCGAATAAGAGTAGACAAATATTATATGTGAGTACATTAACGGTTAGGGATCCGTAATTGTTGGGTATCTCAGAGTATGGGGCGGTAAGCTCAATTCTCGCGATATAATCAAATCGTTTTGGCATTATCTTCTTCTGCGGAAACGCACTGCATCTGGATACAAAAAAATCGAACTAACTAATCATCATATGGTTTTATTTCGTAGCAATAATTATGGAAAAATGTGTGTATTTTTTTGGGTTCTCTCCATTTACACTCTCTGGTTCGCATTGATCTCTCTTCTCACTTATCCTCCTTTTGTTGGTTTTTTATTTTAGGTACTGCAGCACAAAAATAGGGATAAAATAAAGATTTGGTAGTACGTTTTGTGGTTTGTAGTATTTTACATTTTGGTTTAGAAACCTATGGTTATGTTCTTAAGATTGAAAATCTCGCTCTCGCTCTCTAACTCTTTCTTCCGATCGCTTTCACTCTCTTTTATTGCTTTGTTGTGGTAGGGGAATAAAGTGAGAAGGGACTTAGGGTAGAGGTTGCAGGTGTATCGTAACGCTTCACCAACCAAAGTTCTTCAAATTCGGGAAAAGGTTTTGCTGAGGGAGGGGTGTATGATTTAAGCCAATTGTTGTAACCAAAATTAACCGAAATAAAAACAAATTTTGTTGTAATTTTTGTTTTTTTTTGAAAATGTTTTTTTGTTGTATTTTTTGCTTTAATTTTTTGTTTTGTTTTTTAATGATACGTTTTTTTCGCTTGTTTTTCTTCATCCGTTTCGTTTTTGACCAATTTACTGTATGAATAATATATATATTTTATAATATATAATATATCATTGAATTTCTTCTGCTGCTTCTTCTATTTATATATATATAGATATATATAGATGCATGTGTATATATAATTTGTTTAAATATTTATTTTACACGTTCTCTCTCACTATTTTAGTCGCTCTTCTATGACAATTTGCAATAATCTATACAATTTATATTGTTCATATTCTCAATATATATGTATATATATATGCTATATATATATATTTATTTCCATCTGTAGTTTGCTTTTCTTTTCGTTTAATTTAATTAATTGTATACTTATGTAAGTGTGTGTGTGTTTATGTGTGTGGTTTTTAGCATTTTGCCTTTTTAAATTTAATTTACTTAATGTTAGCAAAAATAATTTACTTACAAGTTACAAACAGATTTAGGTTTAGATTTAGTTACTATATCGATTGCTGCTGCTGCTAAGCCGCTGCCACGCCCACATATTTGTAATTGTATGCGGGCGATATGTATGTACAAAATGTATTTTTTGCTTTCTTTCAACTTCTGCTAGTACATCATCATCATCATCTCCACTCCACCTTATCTCTAAATAGCTACTAAATCAAGGATGATTCTAATTAATATAGGGTGTAGGTGTGTGGTTGTTTTGTGTTTTTTGTATGTGTGTGTGTGTGTGTGTGTGTGTGTGAGGGAGGCGTGGTCTATTAATAGTAGTGGGCGTAACTTAGACTCTTACAAAAATTGAACTAATACGCGCGAGTTTTAGAAACTTCTCTCTCTCTCATCTTCGAAACAGAAAGAACATTCATTTAGGGTTTTACATACATACATCATACATTATAAATTATACATCATAGTACATCTATATTTTAGGGGTTCTACAATCCACCTCTGGGCTTCTCTGCTTTCCAATCGTTTCGTTTAGATTAGTTTAATTTAATTTAAAATTCAATTTTTATACCTGTTTTGCATAGTTTTTTTTTCTCTTAAACTTTTCAAACTAATTTCCGCTTCTCTTCTTAATCCTCATCCAAAAACAAGAACAGAAAAACGTTGTGTGTTCGTACAACAAAATATTATCGAAAATTATAATCAAATGTTACTTTCAAACATTTTTTGTTTCAGAAGCACAAAAAAATCAAAGCCAAATGGTAATTTCCACTAAATTTGTTGTTTTACAATTTATGTAAATCATAAATGTATGACATATACATATATGTATATATATTTTGTTGCTTCACATATAGATTCATGTCTATATATATATATATATTTTTTTTTTGTGTTCATGTTTTGTGTGGATTTTTCAGCTTTTTTTGTAGTTTTTTTTTCTTCTCACATATTTTTCATCGTTTTTTTTTTCTTTTGTTTTTGTTTTAAATAGAGGTTGTTGCTCAAGTCTTATACGTTTCTTTATAGGGCAAATAAGCAATTACAGAAAATCATAATTGTACAAAAAAAATCCAGAGTGGAGAAAACAAACGAAAAAATGTTACAATTTAAACAATTAGGCATAATAATGACAATGATAAATAATGATAATTAGCATAGGATTATACACACGTATATATTTATGTATACATATATAATATAATTTAACAAGAAAGTGTAGCATTAGTGCCCCGACTGCTAGTGTCTGCTAGGCACTGCCACTAATCCTCTCTGTTTGCGGTTTTGCTGGCCTTCTGATGTGTGTGTTGTTTTGTTGTTGGATTTCCCATATATATAGTGGTATAGTGTGGTTTACAATAGTTACGATTATATACAAAAATGTACAATAAATCAACAAACTCCTCAGATACGCCTACAAATACATATATATAGAGATATAAATATTACTATATTACATTTTCGACACATTTTGCTAGTACGTTTTCCACAACAAATTAAATTAAATACAGTTTTTTTCATCGGTTTTTCGTGTATCAAATTTTACCGCTCGCCGGCTCTCCCGCTCCGCTTTACAACGTTCCGCCGTTTTGCCTCCCCCACCCATGGATTTCGATCTATATCTCAATCTGATGCTAGTTCGGTAATTCATTTAAATTGTGACTAACTACGCACTAAAAAATTATTACAAGTTATACTAAATTCTAGGCAAATCTTAGGGGGGGGATGGGCTGTGTTGCGGTTGCGTTGCGTGGGGGGTGTAAGCGGCATGGGCTGTGTGCTACCCTCTGACGATGTCATACAGAATATACATATATGCTATATATTGTATATAAATATTTAATTTAAGCTTCGAATCGAATTGAATTTACTTAACATTAGATTACTTTAGTTTAGGTTTAACTTTAGTTTTAGTTTTAGCTTTAGTTATATTAGTATTCTCTGCACTAAGCACAATCAAAACGATCAAAGATCAACGATCGACGATCGACAAACGATAAACAGAAACAGAAATTGGGTTCTAATTAGCACTAGAGACATCTTTATCTTTATATTCTCCCCATCATCATCATCATCATCATTATTGATTCATCATCGCTCTTCCTGCTGATGCTTTGCCTTGGCTTTGCACTAAATTTCTTCTAAATTAGAATTGAATTTCTCATTGCTACAACTAATCGTAGGTTTACAATCGCATCCACTTCCTCACTTGGACGCCGTCTTTTTTGTCGGCGACGTCCCCGTTGTTCTCACCTCCTGCTGTTGCCGGCTACTGGGCGCATTCACCGGCGAGCTGCGTCGCGCCGTTGGGGAGCTGTTCGAGGAGGCGGCGGATGAATTCGAGTGGGCGGCGGCCACAGCCAGACTGTTGCTGCTGCCGCTCGAGCAGGATATGGTGGTGGCTCCCGCCGACGACGATGACGTCGAGGCCGAGGAGGAGGCGGATGAGGAGGTTGAGTCGCCATAGCTTAATTTGCGCATATTCTCTATGGCCTCGGACCAGTGGATGGCATATCCTTCGGGATCGTCCAAGTAGTAGGTGCGACTCGGCTGTAAAATGTATAGAATGAGAATGGAGATTAGTCAGACGCTCTCATTGGAAATCATTCACCCACTGGCAATGCCACTGCCAGTGCCACTTCCCCAACTAGTTCTCTCGGTTTTATCTGTGTTGCGTGTGCAGTTTTCAATGCCGCATTTAATTTGTTTTCATCGCCAACACGTGCCGGAGTCGTAAAGTGCCGTTCAAATGGCTTTTTTTTAAGGGGGCGTGTGAATGGCACTGTGACGTCACCACACAGCCGGCGAATGGTTCAACAAACTTGTCGAATTGCATGTTTCCGGCTCCTCTATCCCCCCATAGTTTACCCCCTTTATTTTTATCACCCACTTACCGTATGGACAAAGAAGATTTTAAAGTTCTTGTATTCTGCCCGGAGCTCTGGACTCCAGCGGATCTCGCCCTTCTTGATCATCTGCACGGGATCGATGTAGATGAGGCGGGGTCCAGTCGTGAGCAGAAGCATACGCTTGCGGGCAAACAGGCCCTTGCGCTTGTTCACGAATCCCTTCTTGAGGATCACCTCGCCGTCGGCAAACACATGCCACTTGTCAGTCTTCTGCTGCTCCAGACGCTGCTGCTTCTCGGCATCGCTCAAGTCGAAGGAGTCTACAGAAAAGATGAGAGATTAGAATGCTGCTCAGGCTCAGGTAGGCGGCAGTGCCAGTAGATTGTACTTACTCTTAGCTGTGGATCGTTTGGCGGGCATGGCCACGCTGCTTCCCACTCCCAGCTCGGCGCTGAGCAGGCGGGTGATTTGACGCTCATCGAGACCCGGCTCCAGGTCCCCGGGCACACTGTAGCTGGAGCGGAAGTCCTCGTCCTGGCTGACGCCGGGCAGGTATGGGTAGATGGGAGGAGGGGTCTGTTGGCGAAGTGTTTCCCAATTGACGCCGGCGAAGAAGGGATGGGCACGGATGCTGTCGTAGTAGCCGAACTCATCCTGGGCACCGAGGCGGTCGCGGGGCTCGATCTTGAGCAGCTTCCTGACTAGATCCTCGGCATCCTTGTCAAAGCCCTGAGGGAAGTCGACGGCGCAGTCGAGGATCTCCTTGAAGATGACATAATCGTTGCTGCCACGGAAGGGCGGCAGGCCCGAGATCATTTGGTAGATGATGCAGCCCAATGCCCACAGATCGGCGGCAGGCGTGATGGGGCCGTTCTGCAGGACCTCCGGGGACACGTACTGGGCGGTGCCCACAAAGCTGCCCTTGCGACGCCGCGCATAGCGACGCTGGCGGTGCCGCGGGGAGTCCATCTCGTCGGCGGTGTGCTGCTGATCATCATCGCCATCATCCAGCTCCGAATCCTTGTCGTAATACTCCTCGTCATCGTAGTCCAGCTTGTCGCTGTCCTCGTCATCGTCGTCCGAGTTGCCGCGCCGCGTCTCCGCACAGTGCTCGGAGGCAAAGACACGCTCGCGCGCTGTCATCACCTTGGCAGAGCCAAAGTCGGCGATCAGAGTGTGCATGTCCTCGTCGAGCAGGATGTTCTCGGGCTTCAGGTCGCGGTGGACCACGTTGCGACGGTGCATGTGCTCACAGGCGAGCAGCAGCTCGGCGGCATAGTGACGGGTGCAGGCCACATCGAAGCTGCCAACGCGGTTGATGTACGGCAGGAGGTCGCCCTTGCGGGCGTAGGTCATCACAAAGTAAAGGGAGCGCTGGTCTTGGAACGTGCACGAGAGATTCACGAAGCCGGGCACACTGGTCATCATGTGCATCACCTCCCGCTCCCGCTTAATGTAGTCCTGTTTGCGCTCCCGCAGGATCAGGCGCTTCTCACAGACTTTAACTGCAAGGAAAAAAGAGACGGGGGAGAATGGGAAATTAGTATCAATCCCATAGATAACGGTAACGGAAACAGCTGTTCGTTTCAATGCCAGACAATCATCGGAGCACTGGCTCTTGGCAACACAACCACAAAGAATAAAATAAAACAAAACAAAACAAAAGCAAGAACATTTCTAATGTGGAACATGAAATAATTCAAATTAAAAATGTGACAAATAAGCACAGAATGAACGCGTGAGAATAATAAAACCGCACACACGCAGACACACACACACACACACACACCACACACGCGGGCGAAGCAATGCCTGCGGCCATAGAAAAAGAAAAAGTTCGAGTACAGGCGACGCAATTGTCAAAATCCATTTGGATACAAGTCATCGAAGTTACAAGTCCTCGCCCTCTGCCATGTCGAATGTGACGCTTTTGTTGCCTGGTCAAGAAGAGAGGCACTGCACTCCATCTATCTACTCTACAAACGTTGCTATCCCTGTCTATCGCTTGCCGTGATTTATTGAAATGAAAAAAAAGCCGCAGCAGCGGAGAGGAAAGCGAGATTTTAACATGGCCACAGACACAGCCGAAGAGCGGGAGCATGAGAGAATGGAGCTAGGTACGGAAAAAGGAGAAGAAGGAATTTTGCTCAAATTGCTAAATTAACAGAAGTCTCGCGTCTGGCGAGCAAACGAAAGCGAGCGCGCTTGGGAACTTGTTTCTGGGCGGATCTCCCCCCTGCTTCCCCTTCACCCACTTCCATAAGAAATTCTAAACTGGTTGTTGAACTGACATGCGAGAGAAGTAGCGCCCCGCACATACAGGGATCCGTTCGGCACTGAAACCATAAGAAGAGAAAGGGAGGAGATGTGATACAGTTTTAGGCTTGAGCTTTGGCAACGCCTCCCCCTCCCCAGCCTCTCGATCCAGCACCCGCCCGCTCTTTCGGCCTGGGGTTAACGGTTCTCCAGAGTTATGACCGCTTATCAGTTAAAGTTTCTTTGCTGTTCCGCACCTCTCTACCCTTTTCGTTTGTTTGGCGGTCATGCAGTAGTGTTTTCCCGTTTGCCTTTTGTTCCAGCGGTCAAGCTGGTCATTTTATCGTTTTGCGGTACTTTTCCCCATTTTGATTCACCATTCCCTCCCTCCCTCCAAAGCAAGCAAGAAAAAAAAGTGAAAAACAAAGCTAAAAATAATAAATTAGAATCAACTACTATAGTATCTGCCCATACATACTATATAGTAGAGGTGAAGTCCCCCTACAAATTCACAATCACAAATCTATAGGCAAAAATAAATTTCAAGATAATTTTTGCATTTTTTTTTTTTACTTCTACTAGTATGTGTGTTGTTATTGCCGTTTTCTCTCTATCAAGATCAAAACAAAACGATCTGCCAACAACTATTCGCCCGAGAGAAAGAGATAGCAATAGAAAAAGAGGAGGAAAAAAGAAAAATAGAATCGGAATCTAGTCTAAAAAACATCGGGGGGCGATAAGTCGTCGTGTAGTCGGCGGTCGAGTGGCAACAAAATAAACACGAAAGAGGAAAAACAAAATACAGCAATTAAAAAGATTAACAAAATAGAAACCAAAAATCGAAAAAACCGAAAACGTTTTTTATGCGTTTTAAATTTCCCAATAGAACACACAAACAACAATAAAAGTGCGTAAAAATAAAAATGACCTTCAAAAAGTTGTTGCGAAAGAAAAAGGGGCTTCGATGGGGGAGAATGATCTGATTGAGCTTTTGATTCGGACTGCAATGGAACTGGAACACGCTTAAGCAGCGTGTATTCTTCGTTTACCGTTCTTTATATTGTTGCGAGACTGTTTATGCATGTTTGGCCTTTTTCTCCGTTTTAATTGAAAAAGTCACATTATTTATTTTAATTTTTTGCGCGCCATTTGCGGAGCTTGGCTTTCTCGGTGTTTAATTATTCTGATATTTCGGTTCGGATCGCTTTTTCTTTTATTTTTCGTTGGTTAGGTTTAACGGCCTCGGTGATAAGCATAGCCTTGAACTTGGCCACACTGCTTGCAGCATGTGTGCACCAGCAACAGCAACCACACAAGCAGCACCGAAAGTAAACACACATAAATAAATAACAAGCAGAGCAGAAACACCAAGTTGGGGGGCTGGCTCCAGCTGCAGATGGGAGCGAAAGAGTCGGCGACAGAGCAAGCAAAGCGCCGTCTAAGCATAAATATTTGTCCAAAGCTCCCTCTGCACAAAAAACCCTCGCTCTCCCCGTTCGCTCTATCTGCAGATCGGTTTTTGCTTTCGTCTGGCCACAACAGCATTGTAAGCGTTGAAAAATTTCCATTGAAAACACAGTGCCAACAGAGATTAGAAGTTCTGGTAAAACGCGCCAAAATGCGCACAGAATGCAGTCAACACTGCAACTTGTTGCTGCAACACGCGAGCGCTTGCTGTCCCCAGGAATGCAGTTCAACGGGTTTTCAGAATGGCCAACAGAGAGGGGGATGCTGACAGAGACTGACTGCAATGGTTTGTTGTGGCCATAAAAACATCCAACAAGTCGATAAAGCAGTGTTCTGAAGTTCTAAAAATAGAACCAAATAAAGAGTCTGATGCCTGCTTACTGGAGGACAATGACCAAAAATGAGACAAATAGATAAACTGTACTCACTCCCCGTATGGAAAGGAGGAATAGAAAAAAAAAATGCATACATAGCTAGAGAGAGGTTTGCTGTAAACAGTGTCAGCGAGAGCGAGAGAGGAAGAGAGAGTCTTAAAGCCTTAAGCTCAGCTCAAGTCTAGCTCAATTAGGCGCAAGGCCGTTGCTCCACTCTCAAGCAGAAGAGAGAGGTGTTTGAACTGTCAACTGCAGCAAAGAGAGTGCAGCACAAAAACCGAGAGAGAGAGAGATCATTACGAGCAAGGAAATGGATAACTTGAAGGGGAAACTATTTTTAGGTTAGAATTAGCTGGAAGCTGAACGCGATTGTTGCCCCTCTTGTGAAAGGGAAATATGACCGCCAGGTGAGAACGATCCCAAATGCAGCCCACACACACACACATAATAAGATGTGTCTGCGAAGGCGTTTGCCGGCATCTTTGTTGTCTCCGTTTCTGTCTGTCTGGTGTCATAAATCTGACAAAAATGTGTCACAAATGAATCTTAGCTTCGTGTTCCTTTGCCAATTTCAATTTCATTAATTGGCAAACGCGCAACCCGCTCTCAATGACGTAACGCTGGGCGCCTGGTTCGCTGGAACCGAACCTAATTTGAATATTTGCACAAAGAGCAGAAAAAGAAGAAATACAGAAATAGAGAGAGGGAGCATGAAGCAGAGGCCAAGCTGCGACCAAGGGGACATCTAATAAATATACACACACACAGGCACAGGTAAGCACTGGAGTATCAGAGAGAGAGAGAGAGAGAGGCAAAGAGCCTGCGAGTGATTTCCGCGTGTGCGACTGTGTGTGTGTGTGTCATAATCATTTTGTTTTTGTATATTGCTGCTTCTCCACTCCCCGCCTCTTCTATCTTTGACCAAGTTTATTGCCCTTTGGAGTCAGCGGGGGTGTAGAGTGAATGCCACTGGCGACATATTGACTGCACGCAAAGGATTTTGAATATAACTGTTAACACACACAAACGTTGAAAGAGAAGATAGAGAGCGACAAAGAGAGGCAACACAAATGTGGGACAACAGTTCCACTGTGTGCGTGTGCAATAAAAGAAATACAGTGGCACCAAAAAAAACATTGTCGGGCCTGTGGGACACACATCTACTGCTGCTTCTCGCGACTTCCTGGCGCTATTTAATTTGCTCATAAAGCGTCGTCAGGCGGCACAGCCGCTCCGTGGAAATGTCCTTGGCACGTGCACCAGTAAGCCACCCATTTACCACCCACACTCCTCTTCTACTACCTTTGCAGCTGCTGCAGCCATAAAAAAAGTAAGGGAACACGGAACGCAAGGTGGAAAAAAAAAAAACGAACAAAATTATGAATCAGCCAAAGATAAAAGCCAAAAGCTTAAAGGATTCGGGTTGAATGACCCAATTCCAGGGCCCATATCATGTTACTACGAGTACCGTACCCCCTCTGAGAGGAGGCAGACTATTTCAGTTGAATACCCTGCGGCTGCTACTGCTGCCCTCAGTCTCAGCCAGCTGCGACTGCGCAGCAGCAGCTGCTGTCCAAAAATAAATATGTAATTAAAAATAAAACATACAGAAAAGAAAAGAAACGAAACGACACGAAAAGGAAAAAAGAACAGGGCCCAAGAAGCGCTGTTATAAAGGTAAATGAAAAGAAAATACAACAAGAAACAGACAGACTGACACTCCAACCCCCTCCTGAAGGGAGACTCGAGACAAGAATCGACACGAGAAAAAGGAGAAACGAGTTCGAGAGAGTTCAGTGGCCCAAAAGAGGAGGTGGAGGTGTGTGCCCCCACCCCTAAAGAGTACTTGAAAAATATTTAAATTCACTTTAAACCCAGCATTAACAGCAACTGGTGCTAATTTTCTAGACACCACTGTAAACAGCCAGCAGTTCAAAGTGCAAACGCTGCGTGGGTGCACAACAGCTCTAACTGTATTGTATCGCACTCGCTCTTGCGCAGCGGCTAGAAATTCCAGGAATTCACTCAAGCAGAGCAGCTGCTGCTTGCTCTTCTCTATATTGTATCTATCTCTTTGTTAAGCCAGTGACGTCTGCGCCAAGGATTATCTGCGCTTTGTAGGCAGCATCAAACACAGAGGCAGAACCAGAGCACGTGTTACTGAGAAAAATCTTCCATTCCCTCATTCAGGTAAATGAAAAGTAAAGATACTTCTAGTCGTCGTCATTTTTGTGGTTGTGTGTTGTTGCAAAAGATGATGAAATACCGAGGCAGGCAATGTGAAAAGCCAGCCCATGGCATGGCATAGGAGAATTCCGTATGGCGTCAAATAGACGCCGCAGTTGTCGTCATTGAACGAAACATACACACGCATACTCGTACGCAATGCGTAGTCACACAACACAAAATGAAAACGAAAACTGCTTCGTTCATGGTGAGTGTGTGTGATGGATGGCAAAGCAGGCGGCTGAGGCGGCGGGCAGCAAGTGGGAGGCAAAAAGAGCTTTGGCAACATTTGTTGCTAGACATTTTTGGCCTACTATAATGTTTTAATCGATGTGTAGTGGGAGGTGGGGCTAACACCCATCTGTTGACCTTCAGACTGTCAATATTTGCCACATTTGTTGCACTATTTACTGCCCGTTCCGCTCAAAAACAGCAGCAACTGCAACACGATTTCAATGTCAAAAGTGCAAACTAATTTTGTTTATTCAAATTGTTTATCAATTTTTGTTGTTGTTGCTGGGGATTTCATAACACTTCCCAGAGGCCAGACGCCACAAGAGAGAGGCACACGCGTTCGTTGGGGGAAAAGTTTTTACGACTTTCGTATGCGTGTGCGCTTCTCTATTTTTATACAACTTGACTTTGTTATTATTGCCTTTCGTTTTAAATGCAATTAAATAGGGCACAAAGCCAGCAAAGCGAGAGATGTTGTATATTTGTATTTACACAGTGAGAAAGAGAGAGAGGCAGTGAGAACGGTTAAAGCCCTGTTGAATTCGTTTGGTGTATTTATAGTAGTATATGGTGGGGCATTCCCTGTCTTTGAGTTGCATACTTTACGCTTAGCTTATTTTTATTTAAACTTTAAAGCTATCTGTTCGAATGCTTCACCTTGTATTTAAACACCTTGTGCACTACCATTTCGACTGCTTCTTCACTGCTTATCAAGTAAGCTTAGCTGCAATTGCATTTTCCCAGCCACGCGCCATTCTTTCGCTCCCTCTCTGTATCGTCCTCACTCTTTCACGCTACCACTACTTTGTTTGCTTCGGTTTCTGCTGGCGTTTGCATTTATGCGACACGTGCCGCGGCTTCTGTTCCTCTTGTTTTTCTCTGCTGCTCCTCCAAAAGCCTCCAGGGCATATTGATTTGCTGTTATAGCAAAATCATTGCCACCACACAACCCATGCAACTCAACCCAACACAAAGCGAAGCAACAACTGTGAAAAATCTTTAAACAAATTGACTTAACACAAATAAACAACAAGGTAGAACAAAATAAGTGGGTATATATGTACAATCTATATGTACATTGTACAATATAACATCTAGAAATCTAGTGAACAACAACTAACAGCTGCTTTTACTCGTTTTCAGACAACTTTATTTGCTGTTAATTGAAATTGCAATAAAAGATGAAAGTTGAGAGTGGCTTGGCGGGTCGCGGCGTAGGGGGGAAAAAGAGATTGGGGATAGGAGAACCAGATTGGCGACACTTGTCAACTTGTTGACGCTTTCCGACCGACACCACTGCTAGCTAGCTTATCACACAAAACAGCTGATCTTGCCGCCTGTGTGCGATAGAAAGAGAGAGTACATACCCGCACTAACGTCAATCAACAACAGTTAGGCGGCTTTTGGTTTCCAATCGATAAACAAAACGTAGCAAAAACAGAAAGAAAGAAAGAAAACGAGAATAAAGCTGGCGTCAATACCGTGCGGGCGTTATCAGAGCAGACGCCGCCGCCTTCTGATGTACTTTTATGCTGATAGCGATGAGGCAGGCAGACAAACGTCCAAAATTGAGGCTCGTTTTCGGTGCGTTTTGGGTATTTTTTTTCTCTCTGCTTGCTGATAAAAATCGTTAGCCGAAGTTATGAAATTACCAACAACAAAAGAGTCACGTGAGTGATATGCTTGCTATTTTTGTGCCAGCGAATACTTTGTTGGTTGTCCTTTAGCCATAATCTAGAGGTCTCATTGGTTACCCATCCCAAAGGGTGCTCATTGTCTTTTCTTTTAGAACATAGTCATTGAAGGTGTTCCTTTGAGATATACGCTAAGCATTCTGTCCGTCTAGTTTTCTGAGTGATCTTGCGCCACTTTTGTCACCTGTCAGCGCACCCGCACGATTGCTGTCATGCGCTCTCTCTGCCATTTCTGAGTGAGCATTCTGCTGCTTGAGCTCTCTTTCCATCACTCTCCCTCTCCTGATTGCAATGCACTGATAATCTAGACTTTTATTGCTCGTATCAATCTCTGCTCCTCCTCTCTCTTCTAGAATCGCACATCAGTTGAGAGTATTTTCCATACATATGCAATAATCGCGAATGCAGAGTGTATTTGTATGTATGTATGTATGGCGGCGGCGATTGTTGGCAAGATATCTGCTAAGCAGGTGACAGGCATCGCTGACGACGACGGCGCCGTCTCTGTCACTGTCTACATGGCGACCGCATTCTCGCGCTGGCGCCAAGCAGAGGCCATACAAATGCTGTGGGCGGGCAGCGGCAGAGCGAAAGTGAATGCCAAATGTAGCCACGCCTTGTAGCTCAAGAGGTGAGTGGGTGGGTGGTAGATGGTGTCTGTCCCACGGCTGATTCTTTTACAGTTACTGCTTAAGGTTCTCTTTGTCTTTACTTACTTGCATACTCGCGTCGCGAGTGAATGTCCACCGCCAGGTAGACCATGCTGAAGCTCCCCTCTCCGATGTAGCGCCCAAAGATGAAATCATTTGGGGATCTGCGGGGCGGAGGATTTTGTTGTTGCTGCTGCTGTTGTTGAAGCTGCTGCTGTTGTTGTTGTTGTTGCTGTTGATGCTGCTGCTGAAACATGTCCAGTATGTCCTTCTGCTGCCTCAATTCGTGGCAGATTACATTCTGGTACTGATGCCGACAGCAAGCTTTGCTGCACTGCGGCGTTGAGGCGACAGACGAACTGTTGCTGGCCACCGCTGCCGCCAAAGGCGATGTGTGGCCTGCGAGAAAGAGAACAGAGAATAAAATCATTACAACATGTTGATAAGGGAAGCTCCTGCTCTCTGAAACTTACCGTTTGTCAGATACTTGTTGCTGCTGCCATAGCGGCTGTTGTTGTTGTTCTCTGTTGTCGTCGTCAGCGTCGTTGTGGCACTGCCGGTGCCGATATTGGTGGCAGAGGCTGCCCCACAGCCGCACGTGTGCTGTTGCAATCGGGACGCCGCTGTGGTGGCGGCCATGGCTTCAACGACGACGACCAGCTGCTCTTTCAGTTTCAATTCCATGAAATTCGATTCGCTTAAGGACACTGGCGTTGTGGCTTTCTCCTTGGCCATTGCCGCCGGCATGGTAGCCGTTTGTGTCGTTGCTGTTGTGGCAGCAATGTTGAATGGTTGCTGTTGCTGTGCTGTGACGACGTCTGAGTCTGTTCAATGCTGCTGCAATCGCTGTTGCTGCTGCTGCTTGAGGCTGCAGCCGAGACGACGATGGAGGCGGCTGCAATACTGGCCCCGCTGCAGGGCTGAAGCTGCTGCTGCTGTTGTTGTGTACCGTTACTCTGCAAGAAGGGAAGAGGAAGACAGATCTGGATGAGAACAGGTCAAAGTGTAAAGCAGTTGCTTCTGTAATGCACATATCTGTTAACTTAACATAGATATGGCTCCCGCCTCTGTTAATCAGCAGTGGGGCCCCAACACGCAATAAATTAAGTTTCTGCTGCGCATACGTATAGAATCAACCGCCCTCTCCCCCCACAAAGACAAACAATAACACAAGAAGAAGCAGCGCTCCAAAGCGGAACTCAAGAACAGGTCCACAAAAGGCAAAAGCAAAAACAGAGTCTGCCCAATGGTCCGCCATTGACGTCGTCGTCCAAGTTCATTGCCGCAGAAGCTCTGTGCTTCTTCTACGCTTTAGTTTTTGTGGGATTTTGGCGGGGTTCAAGGACTTGGAGCATGAAAATATAATAAAGTTCATTGCCACCTGTTTACATTTCTATTAGAAGTTTATGCTCGCGGACTTTGCTTTACCTTTGTTATTGCTTCTCGTTTAGCGTGTTTTTTTTTTCGGATTCATTATGCGAGACACAGATCTTTGTGGCGTGATTTCATGGGAGGGCATCAAAGTTAGAGCTAAGCCTATGGGCAGGCTGTAGTGTTGAGAACAGCAGACCAAATAAATGAAAAGTAAAACCAAAAGAATGAAAAAATATTAAGAGGAATCAATTCTAGCAGTGAAAATAGCAAATTGTTGGCGACACATTTGTCGCCTGTCGTATGATTCGCACGAAAGTTGCTTGGCCGGCAAGCAGTGCCGCACACTGCCTTGTACACCCCACAGAGTTTAACAGATCGAAATCGAGTCACATGCTAAACAAAATGTGCAAATTCTCCACAAATGGAAACAGATTAATAAATAGCCAACCATAAACTAGCCAAACAAACGAAATTTAAATAACAAATTCAATGAGCCATTAAAAAACAAGGTGAGCAAATGCGTCAATGAAAGTTGAAGCTTGAAGCTAATTTTAGAGCAATAAAGAGATGGAGATAAAAATGGAACCAGACACACAGAATAGAAACAGGCCGGGCTTCGGAGAGCGAAAAACGAGAAGAATCAAACCGTACGATTGAGTAAGGGGAAGGCCCCCAACCAAAACCAAGGGCCACAGGGCCCTCCAACAGGTGTATTATCAATTAAGTGGATCGAGGGAGATAGCATAAGCATTCTTTGCATTCGTCAATGAAAACAGTTTAGTTGTTGCTGCCTCTCTCTATCTTTATGTGCGTCACACACATTGGAATGCCGTTGGTTTACTTTTCAGACACGCACACAAATGGAAATCAGAGATATTGGGCTAACAGATAGAGAGGGGAAAGAGAGCTAATTGTATTTTGTTATGCTTCTCTCTCTCTCCCTATGTTAAGACATGACCTCAACGGCATGCCACACATCCCCTCCTATTGGGGGGGGGAGGGGCTCTGCACACCCACGAGTCAATCTAAACAAAATAAACATAAAATTCTTCGATATTTGAACTCAGCCGCCGTTTCAACGCAGCGAAAAAACCAAAAAAAGTTGCCAACCTACTTTATATAATACCCTTTAAAAAAGTGGCATCACAGAATTGATCCAGAGTTGGAAACTCAAATCGATCTTATACGGCATATTTGACATTATACTTCACTTAAGTTTCATATTTAACCAAAATCCAACTAATTAATCTTAAGCTTAATCATTCTTGTAGGGTATTTAAAGCGTACTGCTGTTAAAATCAAAATCTTTCCTTTCTTTCTTGTTTCTTTTTCTCTTTTTTTTCGGCGACTATTCGGCTAATTAAGCCGACGACGACGACGATGATCTGCGTCAGCGGCTCAAAAACTGGTCAACAACCAATTGGTGAATGGCAGAAATCCACCAACAAAAAGCGACTACACACAAAAAAAACAGGAAATACCCAAAATTCCGAATCGTATTGTTGTCCATTACATGGAGGTTTTTAAACCAGATTTTGTCCCTTTACGTCAGCAAGAGGGAGACGCATTTGCATGGGGGGGGAGCACGGATAGCCCATTCGAGACAAGAAATATTATTATAATATCAATAAGAAGATCCATAAAAATGTTGTGGAAAAGTTTTAGAGAATCGAAAGTTTCCCCCCTCTCCCTGTTTCCAAGAGTGGGCGTGTATCACCAGAAGATCCACAATATGACAAGAGTCCAACTAAAGAGGCACCAGACAGCAAGATATCTGGGTGTATATGATATACATATACATGGGATATATGTATATGTACATACATATGTAACCGATCTATAAACATAGAAGAAAACGCTCTACCTCTGCACTGCTCTCGGACGTTGTTATGTCGCGTTGTCTGCGGCGTCTAGACAAAAATGACATTTAAATTAATCTATTTTATTGCCAGGCCAACGCCATTGAATGGGGTACGACGATGTTCCTCCACACCACACAGATCTAGAGATCCCCCATCCCACTTTCTGTAGCCCCCCACCACCTCGTCTTGTGTTCAATTTATATTTATAAATAAGATTTTCGTCTAGAGAATGCAGCAGCCAATTGAAAGAAAAAATGCAACCGCAAAAGCCACCGAGAAGAGAATATCTGATTAAAACACGAAAAGATATAGAGAAATGGGGAGGCATACACTCGTAGAGGAGGGGGCTTTGGTGGTCTCTCAAGGTATTGCAAAAAGAAGCCAAAACTTGCTAAATATACAGAAAATGTTTTTAATTTTGGCACCACATAAAAATTGAAAAGCGCTAAGCGAGGCCACACACACACACACAAGATACAACAAAAACTATTATTAAAAATTCAGCGTGGGTTTTGGTTTATTTGTTAAGTTAAAAACGAGCCCCCTTCATCGTGCCACACTCCACCAAGAGATGATGGTTGCTGGAGAATTGGGATCCAACCGATCGTGGCTGAAATCACGTAGTGCCTGATGATAAAGTAAGGGGTAGTAAGATATAGCATTCCAACACTCAAATTCCTTCAGTTATACTAGTAGTTCAAAAAACCCACAGCGGATATTCCCGCATTACCTATTCCGAAAATGTACTGAGGCCTACTACTGTTTAGGGTTCTACGGACCAGCCCCCACCAAATTACCTATCATAAAAAGCGTCTCTGCCCAGATAGTGGGGGAGGCGAAAAAGCCAAAGCCATAGCTATATGTGGGCGTGGTACTTACGTCTCGCCTGGCATCAGCAAACACACACACCGCACAATTTTTTGATACACAAAACGGTAATAAAAAATTCGCGGAAATTTGTTGCGCCTTTTGTTAGACTCTTTCTTGCCCTCTCTGCCTCTCCCTCCCCCTCTCAAGACACAATCTCTTTTTTTTGTATTTTTAGCCAACGCCTTTTGATTTCTATTGGATGGAACAGATCAGACGATGATCTGCAGTCCCTGTCTCCCCCTCTCAGACGACAACTTTTGAATAATTTAATCGACGAAATGTTGGGTGTACGTATGGCGTGGGGTAGGTTTGGGTTAAACCCGATATATACATAAATATATATATATATAGCACCATACCTGCTTTAAAATCGGTAAAGCTTCCATGATTCAAGAAACAGGGGGAAAAATACACTTGAAACCAGAAATTTTGAACATGTAATTTTTTTTTGGACTGTCACTAAATGAAAGGCCTGCTGCTGTCTCTCTCTCTCCAAACAAAATAGTAAAAATGCGCTTATGAATGAAAATGCAAAGAGGGCGGCGGGGGGACAGAGAGACGAATGCAAGCAAAACAAGAATGCAAATGCAAGTCTTCCTTTCCTGCTCCCACTCTCACGCACAAACACACACTGTATTTCAATACTCTGCTCTCTTTACTTTAACTGCTTAGAATGGGGAGAGCAAGCAGTAAGACCAAGCAGTAGGCCAGAGCGAGCCAGAGGTATGCAAGAAGACGAGAGTGAGGCGTAGAATACTAAAGTAAGAGAGAGAGGCTGCTGCTGCTGGTTTTGGTCGCTCTCTCTCTGTTTGTGTATGTTGTAATTGCGATTCACGGGTACAAATTCCAATGGGCACCACACGCACTAAGAGAGGGGGTGGTAAAGGGGGCCTGTATGCGAAGGTAAAGAAGCAGTTTTTTTGTCGCATACACACACACACACAAACTGAGCCATAAAGCGCGCGTATTTTTCGGCTATGCGCGAGTCTCGTCTCTATATGTACATATGTATGTGTCTATGAATTTTTTGCTTTGATTTTTCACATATAAATTTTCCTCAAGTGTTCTTATTAATTTATGTTTTGCTCATCTTTAGCGCTTACGTTGAGAGTAAAAACAGCAAGCGTAACGGAGCGGCAACGTAAGAATAATTCCAATTCGTTTGATGGGCAGCAAGACGCAGTAGGAAAATTTGTATAACGGCGACAGCAAGACGGTTTCAAAACGGAACAGGAACGTTTACTGTGTATACATATATGCTTGTGTATGTGTATTTTTTTAGGAACGGTAATTTTTTTCGGCTATACGTAATTTGACTAATGAAAACAATTTGATTCTTTTTTCGTTTAAAACATTTGAACACAACACGGAGACGAACACGTTTTCCAAAGAGATATTTTGAGAGGAGAGAACGAACACACTCTCTTTGGCTCAGTTATATTCCTATTTTATGTAATTTTATTTGTTTTTTTTTTTGGCCTTTGTGGAGTATTATTTAATCGCACTACGGGGGCCCAACACCACTACAATTTTGTGTATGCGCGTGAGTGTGTGGCTATCAACGGCCGTTTATATGTATGGGTGTGCTTCCGACGATCCGCGGAACGGAACGTTCGTTCGAATGAAAGGCGCCACAAAAACTAAGCAGTGGGAAAAAAGAGCATGTGGATACTACCCCCAAAACGAAGCAGTATCAAAACCCGAAGACAGCCGAGAGCGGGAGCATAAGAGAGCGGCGCTCGTAATGTTAAATGGGGCCAAAGCAGCGCAGTCGCCGCCAGCGCCAAGGCGAACAAGTTGCGCGCCAGTTTTTTTTCTGCTGATGCTTGTTTCTTCTCTCTCTCTCTCGCTCAGTCGCTTATTGCTGCTGTAATTGTTGCATTGTAATTGTTATAAATAAATAACGTCCAAAGCCAAAAACAAGTTGCCTCTCGCTCTCACACACAGCCAGCAAAATGAACAACATCCCAAAAGAAGAGAAACGAAGCGCTCTCTTCTACACGAGTTGTAAAAGAGCGACCGCATTCCTAACTGTAAACAAGCAAGAAGAAGCAGAGCGGGAGAGGGAGCGAGAGATAGACCGAAAAGAATGCGCTGCTGGAAAAACTAGTTTTTCCCGCTGGAAAATGTGACAAAAACAAAAGAGGCGAGAAAACAGAAAAAAGAATTTTAGGAATTTTCTGGCACCCAAAAGAGAGAAGCAAAGAGAGAGAGAGAGACAGCGACTGCGAAAGTCATGTAAAAATAAACAACGTTTTACGTTTACTCGACTTCGGCGGCAGACTTCAAAATGTAAATAAACATTATCAAATATACGAGTGTGTGTGTGTGCATGTGAGAGGGAGTGCATCTGTGTCGGTGTGTATGTGTGTGTGTGTATAATAATAACAACAAATAATAACTATACAAGAAATAAAAACAAAAAGTGAGCAACAGAAATGCAAGTGAAAGGTGTCTGGTGTTGTCTGCTTCCTCCTTTTCCTCCTCGTCCTCAGCTTCTTCATCTTCTTTTGGTTTTTGCAAAAAGGAAACGGTACAAAAAAAAGTGGTCGACTGCGAAGATGGTAAAGTAAAGGAGATGAGGAGTCGAGAGAGGGAGACAGAGGAAGATGGGTGAGATATGTGATGCAGTGGAGTGAGAGAGAGAGGTAAACAACTTCACATTTGGCTGATTGCAGACAGACAGCCAGAGATAGTGGTGGAGATGGAAAGAAGAGGTAGAGTAAGGAGACATAAAAAAGAAAATTAAATAAATACATGATTTATTATTATTGTGGGGTGCCATTAAAATTTTATTTAAAATGCAGAAAACAAAACCAGAAAAAATACTTGTATTTTTCCAAAATCAACTATTTTTTAAGATGAATAGCCATAAAATGTATTGTTTGATTTTAAACACCAGCAATAATTATATTTTTATTTTTTAATACATTTTTAGCATTTCTTTATTGTATTTTTTGAGTCTTTTGTTTATTATAAATGTCAAAAGGGAACTGGAGCTGTATTCGAGCCTCAAAGGCAAATGAACTGCAGTTTATTCTTCGTTTTTTTTTTTTTAATAAATTTAGTTACCGTTATTTGACACTGTCTGGTTTTATTTTTAACAGGCAGCGACAGGGAAGATTTATTTTAATGGGCCCCCGACTCCCATATGTCAAGAAACTTAATTACACATGAATATCTATTTTTATACAAAATACATATAGAAACATTGATAAATTTTTTGTTGTGGTACTTTTTGCATTAATTCCACTTTATTTTGATGTGTTTTAAAGAGGTTCTTTTTCAAATTTATTATGTTCTTAATAGAAGTTTTATGGGTTTTTGGACTTTAATAAAAAAAAAATGTATGGATGGACTTTTTTACTTTAGGACTAATTAGTTATAGAGAAAATATTGAAATTTAAAATATAATTAGAAATTGTGTGTAAAAACCGAATAGGTTTTATAAATTCGTTTTTGCATACGTTAAAAAAAAAAAAAAAAATATTTTTTTCTCATTTCTATCAAACCAAAAACTCCTCAAGCTCAACCTCAAAAACTCAACATATATATTCCGTTTTTTGTCGCCCCTAATTTATTTAAGAGTTATTATTTTATTACCTTGATTGACGCCTTGAATCGGCGTACGACGAAATTGTTGAATTTATTGGACCAACTTTTGCATTTCATGAGGAGGCTGGAGGGGACCACCGCACACGAATGCGGGTCGGAGATGTGGATGGTAAAAGACAACGGTAAACACTGGATGTCTCCTTCCGTTGCTCCACTGCTTTGCTGCTACTCCTATTTGTCTTTTGTGTGTTCACTCTCTATGTGTGTAGTTTTTGTCAGATTGAAACAGCTATTATTTTATTAATCCTTTGCTGGTGCATAATTTGTTCGACACTTTAGTTGTTACAGTTATTACAAACACTTGGGCACAGGCACGACGGGGACACACACGGAACATATAAAATGGTAGGACAATGTTAAGTTTTCTTTTTTTGTTTTGTTTTGCGATTTTCCTTTTTGGCGCGCGCAGATAACTTCTCTGCTTAGAGCCGTTGCTGTGTTTTGGTGACTTGACTTGAATTTTGTATTTCGTTCAAGCGCGCGGAAATCCAACCGAACCAAAGGCAAAAAAATTAGTGGGCATCGTCGAGAAAACTCCGAGCGACGGAAGCAGCCTTGCCAGAGCCAGAATTTCGATGTGGAATGGAAAGAGACCATGAAGAGCGAGAGAGCTCATTTCTGCGCCACTTTTTTGAGCCATGAACGAAATAAACCTCTCTTATTCTTGGCATAAAAGTGGAACGCTGGAATTGCGGCCATACAAAACGGAACATTTCAAAAAGGCGCGCAGCCAAACACTTTGCTCGCTTGATAGAGGGAATTTTTAGAGATAATGTTAGATGGATATGAAAACAGTTATGTTATCATTAGATAAAGGAGGGAAAATGTATCGAGTGGCTGTGAAATTCAGTTATTGTACAGGAAGATTAGAAAAAAAAAAAAGGAAGAGCAGGGAGATCAAGTGGATCGAATCCCATAGAGGTGCACCCGAAATAGTACTGCTTTATATGGCATTAATTTCACAAGCGATTTGCAAGTCATGTTATTGGTGCCGTTATTGGCAATTTGCGTTTTTTTCCCTTGCATCGATATTTGCATGCAGCCCCCATAAATTATTTATGGGGCAAAGTGACGCACTTGTTTTCCTCTTCAAAAACGACCTGCTTTCTCGGGCACTTTTTCTGTTCAAGAAAGATCTTTTTCGAAATAATACAAAAACAACTATGAGTCAGGGCCTCGGCCTTTGACAGACAGTTTATCCCGAAATTTCGAATGGCAGTTTTAACGGTTTGTGGCGCTCACTTTGTGTGGCATGCACCTCTTTATCTGTCTCTCTCTCTCTCTCTCTTTTCATCCACGAGAAACTCCAATTATGTGCATTACTGGAATTTGAACTATTTGGACCCCTCACTCCATTCAACCTCTTCACAAAAAATCTGCTTGGTTTTGGATCGTTTCATTGATCGGCGCTCTTAAGTTCCTCACATGCAGTCCACAGTCCACAATTCATTGTGATCATCCTGACATTCGCATGCGTCCCACACAAGCCAATGCTTTGCTCTCTCTTCGACAGTGTTCCGTTTTGTCCCAGACGTTCTCTGTTTTGATTTCAGTCGCGCGCGCCTTTTTGCGTATGTATGTGTGAGTGCGAGCGAGATGCGGCGAAAACAAAACATTAAAATTGAGGGAAGATATGGCAGCGCGGTCGCTGCTCTTTCTCACACTCTCTCTCTTTACGTCGCTGTCGTTGTTGTTGCTGCTTCTGCTGCTGTTCTTTCGTCATAGCGTTCCTTTACGTTTGTGTTTTTATTTTGATATAATTATAGTTTTTTTAATTTATTTTCCCGTCAGGTATGGTGTGCTTTCAGTTTTTTCAATATTAATGAGGAATTTTTAGGAATGAAAAATATCTATGTACATATTGCCAAAATATCAAGTTACCGATAAGATTAGGTAAACTTTGTACGGTCCAAAAATAACTAAAATATCGATTAAGCCACAAATTGATGGAAGCAAACAATATTTTCGACTATGACTGATCATATTTTATACTGAATTGCAATATTAATCAATAAAAACCCACATTTCTTGAGTTTAATATGATTTATTAACAATTACCAATAGATAGACATAACTTGGCTGATAACTTATTCCAGAAAATTGAGCTATGGATGGTCTATTGGGGTTGGTCTAGATGTTATAACTTCCTTAAACCATAAACGTAAAAGTTCGTATATGAGTTTTAAAGTTCATTTTGGAGTTGTATATAAAGTATTTTTTTTTTTTACTTTTTCGAATCAATGTTCGTTGTCTGTTTTCTATATATTTTTGTTTTGTGTTTCAGTTTTAGCATTTTCTGTCTAATTCATTTGTTAATGAGCAAACACAAAAGGCAGCGGAGAGGAGAAGATGCCGAGCGATTCTGCTGTGGTTTTTGCTTCTTTCGAGCAAAAAATATTTAAAGAAATTAGCATTTTTAATGGGCGACAAGTCCGGAGTTCCGCGAGACACAATGTCGCCTCCAAAAATATAGATATACTCCGCACAGATATAGACAGAGAGAGAGAGAGAGAGAGTGGGAGAGGAGATATAGTCATACCACCTGTATATGTTTTTATAATACGAAATTTGCATAAAACAAATCTACGCTTAGCATAAAAAAATAATTTCTCAAATTATTCAACTGAAATCGAAGATTGCTTTTGGATTAGTGGAGATTTCGCTGTGTTGGTTTTTAGGTTCGGAGACGAGGCATTCCAGAGACCAGAAAGCGAATCATTAGTAAAGATATGGCTGTACCCCCCTCCGATCACATAGCTCGATCTTTGGGTTCGTTCGGTTTCGTCTTTCGATTGCTTTTGCTTTTGCTTTTGCCTTCCACCTGTTTCGTCGGGGGGTCTTGGTCTGGGACTGGGTCTGGGTCTGGGGCTCAGGTCTCTTGGGCTGGTCTCGTTTAATTACTGACTTTTCGCCCTCTGAGCCTCTGCTCTAACCGGTTTGGGCATCCCCCTCCCTCTGTGGGCCCTGGAGGTCTCCATTTAGTTGTCACTAAGTTTACCCATTAATAAAACCCGCTGACTGGCGTTCGATGGGTTCGTGGTGGTATCCCAGAGTTACACATCAATGGACCCGACGATCCGTCCTCAATTTGTTTAATTTATTAGCAAACAGTGGAACGTAGTGCGAGGGAAAGGGGATTTGTGGTATTTAGGTGCAGGGGCATCACATTGATCAACGAAATATTTCATTTAATTGTTGAGTGGAAATATTTGTTGGTCAATTATGAGAGAAAAATTATCAGAAGGAAACCAACAATTTGTGGGGAAATTTTAAAGGTGGACATATTTTCCAGTTGTTTTTTATCTATTTTAAATATTAATTTCAATGTCCCTTTGGGGCATCAACGATTGACCTCTGTATATTTATAGTTCCTTTGGGGCAAGTTGCATGGTATGCGCTAAAGGGCAGTCCGCTAAAGGAATCTGAAGGTCATGGGAGTGGGAAATGGATTATGGTTGGATGGGTACAAACTTGAAAAGGTTATCATGGGTAATGTAAAATCTAATAGACTTGGGTAGCATTCACTTTTGTTGGCGACAGAATGGGATAGAAAAGTGTTCGATAGGAGAACTTTAAATGGGTTCTTTATGCCCACTTTTACCTGTCTTCAAATATAGCCATGATTGGCAATCCAATTACAGTGTAAAGGTCAAATAAAACGATAATGAAATGTCAATGGACTACAATACATTGAGGCTTGAGGCTGGTTGCAGAAATTCCACCAAAACAAAACCCACATTTTTTTCTATTCAATTATTTTCAATTTCCCTTTCTACTATTCCACGGTGTATCCGATGCAATGATAAATGGAATAAAGTTTTCGATTCATGTTTATGTTTTTGAATTTTGATCAAAATTCGATTATAAATTAATGGACTTGTCCTGTCGTCGCAGTGGCAAACAATTGAATTAAAAGCCATAATTTAATTAACACAACGCGTGGGAGCGCTCCCCACTCGCTTTTCTCACCCCTTTGTCTATCGCTCTTCTCTGTATCTGCATTCTCCTCTTTGGCTTTCAACTCTCTTTCAAACGACAAACAAATAAAACGCGGAAAAAGCCAGAGCCAAACAAATCAACAAAACTCACACGTGTCTGCTGCTTCCCCTGCTCCACATATACCCCCCCGCCAAACTACTGTGCAACACTCCTACTCGAACTCCTTGCCACACCGAAATATATTGCGCATACGCCGCGTGCGACGGCGCCAGGCGGCGTAAAAATTAAATTGGCGCCAAACGAATTTGCAACGGTCAATTAAAACAAAAAATCAGCAGGCAACAAAAGAAAATGGAAAAACTCCAACAACACGCCCCCCACCCTAACGGTGTGTTAATAAATTCTAAACGCTCTATTTTTTATGTGCTTTCTGGAGGAGAAGGTAGGCGAGGGAAAAAAGGTGAGCACGGGGCGAGACTGCAGTTTAAACAATAAATAATTTCTAGGTGGCGCCTCAATGGCGATTGTCGTTCAGTTCTCTTCCTCACCCCTCTTTCACTATTCTTGTGTGCTTAGTGCACAATCCATTCCCACGTTCCCATTTCACGTGCAACACGACAAGTGCGCCATATAGCTTTGTGGCGGTTTACCCTTCTACTGGCTGTAGGGCATAGGGGACTGTGATAAGGGTTTCGTTTGAGGGTTGTTTTCAATAATACATAAGGGCTTTAGGGCATGGTAATCCAGTGCCAAGTATCGAAGATAGAATATGAATCACATTTTGTGTTAAGTTTTGTGGGTAATGATTTTGATCTGTCTAATGAGTCTTATATCCAATTTACAGTTCTCCTACAGAGCATCCCTTAGCCGTTGTGTCCTATCTTTTATTCATCTCTCCGTAATTCTTCTTCCTCTTCTGCTCACCTAAATTCGTGTGTGTTTTTTGTTGCTTCTGGCGCAAAGCGCAATTGATTGCATGAATATGTTTTCCAATTGCGTCGTAGCGAAAATGTATGCCCCATTGCGACGTCTCTTTCTGTGGCAAAGGCGGAAGAAGCGCTCGCCCCGCTAGAAGGGCGCTCCGTCTGGGTCGGGCGGGGGGCAAGGGTCGACACTTTTTGTTGGGCTTTTGTATGCGCGAAGAGCTTCGAGTTCTTTCTTTAGCTGCTGCTGCTGCTGCTGCTGCTGCTGCTGGGGGCTGCCGCACGGCCTCTGCCTCGTGCTTAGAAGCAGTGCAACAAAGCGAATGCAGAGTATATTTATGAGATGGTAAGGCAGGGTACGAGAAAGTCTGTAAGGCAGAACGGCATGCAAGCAGCAATGCTGAAAATTACTAATGAATGCATCAAAAAAGGGGGTGGGAGTGAGGTAGGAGCAAGTTACACTCTCCATGGTCGCCACCTTACCCTTCGAATTAACGTACCCTTCAAGCAGCAGAGTGTAGACAGGCACAGGCAGAGGCACATCGTACCAGACAACGTTCTACGGCCATGTGACCTTTTGTGTGTGTTTAAAAACGAGTGGGAAGCGCGCTGATGTGTTTGTGTTTGTGTGGATTTTGGCGCGT